ACTGTTGTACAACTCCTTTGACACTTGTACTCACCCACCCACCCTTTCTCACAAGGAAAAGCTGCCTCTTGGCTCCAATGGATTTTCTCCTTTAAATGTAACTTATGTTTGAATCAAAACTAGATATTATTATTATAGATATTATTAAAATTAGAAATTTTTTTTTTGAACAGAGGTCAAACAATTAAAGAGAACAGCCTAAAATGCCTACACAATTTAAAAAAACCCTGCTGCCTAGAAAAAAAAAAATAATTTCTCTTACACACTGCAATATTCTTGCTTTTCCTTTGCCACAGTTAAGGATCAGTCTTGGTGGAGACAGCATTCTGTCAATACAGAATAAACTTCCACATGCTATCGACTTGGATTAGCAGCCAAGAATAAGCAGATGCTGAATTCTCCAGCTCTTAGATAGAACAGCTAATCATACCTATGACAGCACACCACAAGGAATAGCATTCCAAAGCATCCCCTGCCCCACATTTCCACCTACTGATGGTTTTCAATAAAAATATTTCCATGAACTCAACAACCAACTCCTTGGAGCCCCACACAACTGGTTAGATGGGATGCAAGGGAGAGGAGGAGGTGGGTAAGGAGGCACTGGAAGGATGAGCAGGAGGAGCTGGAAGGATGTAGGACTATCTGCTTTCAGGAATTAGTGCAACAAAGAACTGTATCCCAGGGATGAGAAGTTATAACTTCTTAAGTCAAGCTACTGCAGTTCATTCTCCCATCTTTCCTCCCTCCTGTCAGCAGCACCTCAGAGTCAGGCCTCCAACTGGCTGAAAACAAACCTGAATGAGGCAGAATAGGAGAGGGATAGGGATGAAATGGGGGAGGAAGGGTAGAATGAGTTGGAGAAGGAGTTGACAGGTCCTGGCACACGGCCCTGCCACAAAAGGCAAGCAAACAGCATAAAACTGCTTCTCATTTACAAGAAAAAACTGTCAAAAAAACCCCCCCAAACCAACCAACCATCCAACCAACAAAACCCCAATCAGTCACAAACACCAGCATGTTCCGAAGCTATTGCAAGAATCTCTGTGTCCCTGGGATGCTGACATGACTTAATCAAAGTTATACTGCAAGGACTAAACAACTGCAGTCTGAGAAATCATCCAGCCAGGCAGAAAACACAGAACATGGACTAACTGCTCCTCCTAAATTTTTGCCCTCGTAGGCTGACAATAAAACACATAACTGTATTAGTCTCTAAAAACCAAGGAGAGGACTACAGGGACCATCTAGTGAAGCCTTGGAACTTTTGTTCTGCATAAAGAAAACTACAAATTACTACTACCAGAGCTAATAGCTAACATCCATAGTATTAGCTGGTTGTAAGTCTGAAACCTTAAATCACCTCAAGACTGAAACAACTGAGTCAGTCTCCTCTGCTTTCTTCATATCCCTCCACAAAATATCAAAGTTTAGTTCAGTTTGAGAAATGTTTACTAAGATACATGCATGTTTTATAACATGCTATTTCATGGACTACCAAGGCTAAACAGTTTCACTCACAGTATGTGAAAATATTCTTGCTATCCTGGTAATCTCTATTTAAACTACAGTTATAATCCCAAAATAACTCAAAAGCAAGTTACTCTAAAATCTCTTAACCCAGTATTTGATAACAATGATTGAATACACAGCAGGGATATATGTAAAGTTTGCAATGTATTAAACCTCAGCAGTACATGGAAACACTCTTGTAGGGAAAGGCAGGTCCTGAGCTGCAGAAAAAGCACAGACACACACAAGACACACAAAGAGTTTAGTGTGTGATGCCAGTAACACCTGGGAGTTGTGCAACAGTGACTGCACATTTCCACTCATCACGGCCATGAAAAGTGTCATTTGTGACTTGTTGGAAGAACTGCAAATGTGATTTCTGCAACCACTTTTATTATTGACAGCAAAATTATCTTTAGAGAGAAACTGGATCACCATGAATTCAAAAGGGTAAAAACCTATTTGAACAAAACAACAAAAAAAGGCAAAAAGCCTTATTCATCAATTAGGGATTCTGTGGTTTATTTTTATGGACTGCTATTGTTTCTTTGTTCAATTGCAGGGTTTTGAAACATGTTTCCTTTAATGACTCATCTCATAATAATTCAACTAAAACATTTGTATTTTTATGCAATTAGGAAAAAATGGGCTTGACAAAAGGAATGTCAAAACACTTTCCAAACACTCATGCACTACCCTATGCATTCTCTACAAAGAGCATCGATACAGAAATTAAATGTAACAGCTAGGCACAATAAGTGTTAGAAAACAACAAGTGAATGAAAACAGGCAACACCTAAGGTTACTGATGCAAAATTAAAAGCTGATAAGAAATAAAGCATCCCATTCTGGCTTCATGAGTAGTTAGCAAAATTTAAATTACAATCACTAGGTTTAGGAAAAAATAAATCAAAGCAATTAGCAGAATTTTAGTAAAAAAATTTAATGATGGATTTTAGTATCATTTAGTCATTATTCCAATCACTCTTAACACTACCTAGGTAAACAAACTTCTGTCTTTCAGATTAAGACCGGTAAGCCAGACAGAGATATAAGAATTACTGAGTTTATTCCCACCTGAAGGCAGGCCATGCTGTGTGAAGCAGTTTCCAAAGAATGATCAGGCCCTATAATGCACTTAACACTGTTATGTAAAGGCAGAGGGAACCCCACCAGAATTCCAGACAGTTTTGCATGGTAAGTAATTTGGGTACCACTACCACCATCCAAGTGTACTACTTAGGCAAATATTTAACTTAAATATGTTAAGAAAACCAGAAAACTTCAGAGAGCTGTAGGAGGTTCTGCTCTGAAGTATTTTTTTTAAGATAAAGACATTCAGTGAAGATTTTACATGTAAAAAACATTCAGTGGCTTTAATTGTAATTACTGTATTTATAAGACAAGCACCAGATACAAATTCTAAAAATTAATCTGGAAATTAAAGCCCTTCCCATTAACACGGAGAAAGTCAGATGGCCATCTTTCCATTCCCTAACACTGTCTTAGGCAAAAAAAGAAGTCAGTGTTCTTCCTCTCCCTCTCAAAGTAATCTGTCCACACCTTCAGATTTAAGCAACAGAAGTACTGGAAGAAGCCCAGGGTAAGGCCCCGAAGTATTTTATGCAACAGCAGAAGGAATAAAGTCCTGCAGTAGATGAGACAGACATCAACCTCCTTCCTAGGCAGAGGTATATCTACTGTCAGTACTGCAAAGCCAAGTTCAGTTAAATACCAGTCGTTTTACAACCACAGTATTATTCAGATGCATAAAAAATGTAAGTATCATTGAAAAAACCATGAATAAACACTTCATTGTAGCCATTGTCATTAGAGGACGTATTGTGAAATGCCAGTGTTTACTTCTCTATATATATGTACACATATACACATCTATACAAACAAAATCCTGCTGTTTAAGATTAACACAAATTTTCTAAAACAAATCCCAGCTTGTCACTATTTTAAATTCTCTTTGCTTAACACGTGCACCTGAAAGTATGTCCCTCACTTCTCCAGAGCTCTTTAGCACAGCACCCATAAAAGTCAAGCAGAGGCACCGTAGCTGAACACAGGGGTTCTGTGGGTTCTCTGCCAGCAGCAAAGAATCCCAGTCCTTCCAGCCTCGTGCTTCAGGGCGGAACTCAGGGAGAATTTATTTGGGAAGCAACTCTTACGGCAGGCCCCGCTCGCACAATACGTGCATCGTAACCAGCAGGCACCTGAATGGCTCACAGGGAGCGGAAAATTGAGACATCAAACTTCCAAGAGCAAACTACAGTTTTGGGCAGGAACGGTAGCTGCCAGGTATTTTGTGCTTTTGGGTACCAGGATGTAAGTCAGCGTCACTCACCTCCCCACAAACTGGGCTCCTTTTTAAGACAGGCTAGCCAACTCTGCTGCGTAATGCGAGAATTAGCTCCGTAAGTCTTACTCTGGGGCTTTCCAGCCTGGAAAGCTGAGCCACTGAGATGGCCGGGGGGCAGGCTTTTTGCAATTGGAATAGCCAGAGTTAACGAAACAAAACAAATCAAAAAACGAACAAGTCTTTTTAACGCGCCAGGAGCAATCCCAGCGGGAAGGGGAGGAGAGGGCGGGAAGGCCGCGGACCGGAGCGGACCCGCGGGGCGCGCGCCCCCCGCCCCGGCCACGCGGCGCGCCCGTGCGCCCGCACGCGCTCAGAGACACGCCCCCCTCCCCTCACCGCGTCCCGCGCCAGAACACCCCTCCCCCCTCGCCCCTCACGGCCGCCTCCTTCCGCGGCCCGGGACCGACCTCTCCACCCACTCGCGGAGGAAGGCGAGCTCCGGGGTGTGCAGCACCCCCGGGTTCTGCTTGCACAGCCGGACGAAGGCCCGCAATTCACTCAGCTTGCGCGAGTCCATGGCGGCACAGCGGCGGCCCAGGAACGCTCGTTCCCCCGCCCACCCGTCGCGGAACCTTCCAGCCCGCCTCGCCCGCCAGAGGCCCCGCCCACACTGGTCAGGCCCCGCCCACTATAAATGGCCCCCTCCCGTGCCAAGCAGGCTCCGCCCATAAACTCCATGAATGCGCGCAGAAACGTCGCGCGGAGCGTGGAATCTTCCAGCCCGCCCCGCCCATCCCATCCCGAGGCCCCGACCCCGCCCACGCAAGTCATTGCGGCGGGCTGCCGCGGCGTGCCGGGGGAAACGTTCTGGAAGCGGCAGCCGTGGCTGGGCAGTCGCGCTCCTGTGGCTGCTGCCGCCCGGCCCCGCCGTGGCGCGGGCTCCCCCTGGCGGGCGAGGCAGGCGGCCTCCGGGCGCTCCTGCGCCGGCGCGGCGCCGCGCGATGGTGTCAGCGCGCGGCGCAGAGAGGCCCCGGGCATGCGCCGCGCGGCCCCGCCATGTCGCGCCTCCCGCAGCAGGCGCTTGTGGTGGCGGCCCGGGGCTGGCGCGGCGCCGCAGGTCAGACACCCCTCCTCCCCCGCACCCCAGCACCGCCCCGCTCCCCTGGCGACGCCCGCTACCGCGGCTCACGGCCCCGCTTTCGCTTCTCGGGTCGCGGGAAAGCGGCTCTCCCCGGCGGCGCAGTGGCAGCCCCGGTCAGGGCTGAATCCTAGGGAAGGACAGGCAGTAACTTGAGTAATAAAGCAACGGGAGAAAGCTCCTCGCTGCCTTCAAAGTGTTGCTTTATTTAATGCCCGCTGTGTAGGTCTGGTTGCGAGCTGTCCTGTTTGTCTGCTGTGTATGTGGAGAATAACAGTAGAAACACCAGTTTTAAACTAGACGACGAAAAAACCTGCAGCTACATTTCACCGCCCGGGTCTCCAGTCAAGCATGACATAATGAACGCTTCATGTTATGACTATTGGTTGTCGTGCATAAATGATCTTCAGTTAGAGGCTAATCCTGCTGGCTTCCACAGCAAATCCACGCTCTGTATGTTTTGCTGTAAGCCCCGGAGGCTCAGCCACCTGAAAGGCAGATGTTTTCTTGTCTTATCCTTGCTTATGCTGGTGAAGGGTTACAAGTATTTGTTCTAAGAATGGCAGCACAAATTGGTTTTCTAGTACGCATGTGGTAAGTAACATAAAGAGGAACCCCTTTCCAAAACATCAAATAGGTGTTTACCTTCTGACTACCCTCTCCTTCCTACAGGTCTGGTTGATTTGTATTCAGGCACAAGCTCTTCTTCAGCTGCAGAAGGCTGTGACTGAGAACTCTAAAATTTCTGACAATACATTTTTCATTTTAGATTTTGTCTTATCGTGCCTGTTCCCAGCTCACAAATGCATACTTGTAGTTGTCTTTAAAACTCACTTGCTTTGGCTGTGTGTGGGTTTGGAAGTAGGATTCATAACTGTAGAGTTTGGCAGTGCTGCTGCCATGGAAGGTCAATACACAAACAGGGATGCTCAGGTATCCTCCAGACAGGAAAAGAAAATCAAATTCCTGTATAAACTTGTGTTATTGGATGGATTCTTTGCAGCATTATTAGTAAAAAACAGAACTGGAAAAGCCTTGAAAACTGTGTAATTGTTCCAGGTGAGAGAAATTTTTTTTTGAAGACATATAGTAGTGAAGAGACAATATACAGGTGTGGTGCCTGGAGCCCTGTGGTGTTTGAGGGAAGCAAGGAGAGTGCTAGTGCCTTGTGAACACCATTTGTATGAATTGGGATGTGCAAACCAATGGACCTTCCTGGGTTTTGTTGCTGGATTGTCAGGTTTTGCATAGATTGTTTATTTCTATCTGTTCCTTGAATATTTGATTGTCATTTGAGTTGTGTGCACATTGTTTCATGAACTATGGTTATGCACAGCAAATGGAGAAGTTAAGGAGGGATATTTATGTCATATAAGTGAAGGAATGCTGCTAAGAGTCTGATGACTAGACCACAGTTCTGCAGTTCCTAACTGGAAAGATTTGGGTTTTTTTTTACCTTGACATGATGCATTTCTTTTCCTCTAGTTTGCAAGTCGTGTGCTCTCCGAAGATTTTCCATCCAGCCTGCCCAGCAGAAGAAGATTCCAAGCCGGTATTTGGGCCAGCCCAGCCCCTTCACACACCCACATCTGCTCAAACCAGGTGAGGTTTGTGCCCTGCATGAGCCAGTCATTGATGTTTTCTTGTCTCCATTTTTCTGAGTGTGTTGATTTGCTGCATCATAGAGTTGTCTGTGGTTTCAGGTGTTTATGACTCCCTTCATTAGCCAGGAATTATATTTAGTAGCTAATTTCCTTGTCTGAGATGATACTGATTCCAAAAATAGGCTTCACAAGTGATGACTTTCATAGCTTCTTTCTTTTTTCTCATGATGTTCTCAGGGTTGTTTACTTGGGTGCTGTAGACTTTTTCTGGCAGTGGCATTTTGTGGACTTGTCCTGCAAATAAATGTGTTTTTTATTAAGAGGGAGTCTTTTGTGCAAGCTGGACTGTCAGAATGGTTCATATCCCATGTCTTGTGAGTCACAAAACAAAGGTGCAGTTCAACAAAGGTGGATGGGGAGGGACATTGATAAATGGACAGCACTTGTCTAAAGAATGTGCCCTGTTCAGAGGAGTATTCAATATGAGGAGAAGAGAAAAAGAAGTTTGTGACTATGAAATTAGACAGTGGTGATGCAAGCTGAGTTTGTGCATTTTTTTGTGATTCCTGAAAATGAGGATGTAGGCACAAGATCACAATTAAATCTAAAAAACAAACAAACAAAAAATTGCAAACAAACAAAATATATTCAGAAACATATCTAGGAAAACGTTGTGTTCTTCCACAGGTGGGTATAAAGGGAGAACAGATGACTCTGTGTGTGTGTGTATATATGTGTCTATATATATAAACACCTGTATTTAATTGTAGAGTAATTCAGGTCAGAAGGAACCTCACAGTTAACAGGTTCCCCCTGTGCTCAAGGCTGGGCTAACTTCAGCATTAGATTAGGTTGCTTAGGACACTCATTCCCAGCTCACAATAAACGAGGCTGACTGCTTAAAGTGCAGCCAAAGCACTGGAAGTGAATTCTACCAATCCAAAGTATATTTCCATTTAATAAAGTAAAAGTGGTTTCCTTAAAATAATATGACATTGTTTTATTGCAATTATTGTTTTAAAAAGCAAATGCCTTTAATGCAAAGAGAATTTCCAGGCCTCACAGTTGGAAGCCAGCTGGGATCCCCATGTTTCACCCCATTGCAGCTTCTGAAATTCACTGGACTGTGGCAGTTAAAAAGCTGACTGGAATGCAATGGAACATAGGAAATTTGCAGTATAACACTGTGGAATTGTGAGGCCAGATTGCATTAAAACAGTTCCCTGTCATTCACAGAGTAAAATAAATGTGGTGGGTTTTCTGGGTTGGTTTGGTTCTTTTTAAAGACTTACATATAATAGGTATTGAGGCTATAATTGAAAAGGTGTAAAAATTCATGCAAATAGAACTTCCCCCTCCCACTGCACTCATGCAAGAATCCACTTGCAGTATAAGTCAAATGTCAGTTTTTGTTCTAGAATTGCCACTGTGTAATACATGAAAGAGGAAGAAAAGATTATGAAAGTGGAAAGTTAACAAACGGTATCAAAATTCAACGTATGTTAAGGTAGGGTATTAGCCAAAGATACTGATTAAGGCTCTTATATTAATTTAGATCATAATTAGGGAGTCTCACAATTTTAAAAATACATACTTCAGCTGTTGCTGGTTGTCCTTTGAACTTCAGTCCTGTTTTGGTGAGTATCTTGATTGCTGTACTTCATGTCTTTTGGGGCTGGAGCAGTTGAAAGAGTACCTTCATCTGAGAGATCATTTGCTTAGTTAGTGGTATTAGAAATACAGTATTTTAACTTCAGAAAAATTTGAATTGTTAAATATTGACAAAAGCTACGTATGCCCTGGAGAAGATCCCTTCCCTTAACAGGAGTTTGATGGCAGCCTGCAGTCCGTGGTTTGTTTCTGCTTGGAAGCTTGTGACTGGTTAGACTCTGCAACCTCTGCACTTCTGCCTGATCTCCCAGAATCTCTGACACTCAATCTGCCCTTTGTGGTTTAGAAATGGTCACTTTATGAGTTGACTTAGTGTGTAATTGAACAAACATTCTAGCTTTATCTGAGGAAATTAATGCTCAACCTCAGGAGGCAAACTTCTGTTCAATGTCCGTGCTGTAAAGCCCATTGGTTTTTAGGAGTCAAAGTTCAGTTTGCCTTGCCCCTTCCCCCTTTTTTTTTTTTCACGTTCTCTGCAAACATTTGGATGTTTGTTTAAATCTACCAGGTTTTGTGATTTCTACCTTTGCACAGAAATATGTAACACACATCCAGTTGGTTAAAACCAATGTCTGTCTTTGCATGATGGAGAAGCAGCCTAAATGAGCACGTGCTGTAGGGATGGAAGCTGAAGAGGAGCAAGGGAAAGGCATGTGTGAGGTTACAAAGAAGGCATGCACTTGTAAGGCATCAGGGAGCAGGCAAGAATCAGGCCTGTGACTAGTAAAATACCCTTAGTGCCTTGAATTTCTCCATCTGATTTGTTTTGTGTTCACAGGAGAGGTAACCCCAGGATTGTCACAGGTGGAATATGCTCTTCGCCGACACAAACTGATGGTGTTGATCCAGAAGGAAGCCCAAGGCTGGGATGGTTTGGACCACACAGTGATTCTGCTGTCCAACCCCACATACTACATGAGCAATGACATCCCCTATATTTTCCACCAGGACACTAATTTCCTGTACCTCTGTGGCTTTCAGGAGCCTGACAGCATCCTGGTGCTGCAGAGCATTCCTGGCAAAGCACTGCCATCTCACAAATCCATACTTTTTGTGCCCCGGAGGGATCCAAATCGAGAGCTGTGGGATGGGCCCAGGTCAGGCCCAGATGGGGCAATTGCTCTCACAGGAGTAGATGAAGCTTACACCATTGAGGAGTTCAGGCACTTGGTGGCCAAGCTGAAAGGTAACAAAAAATAGAGAGGGAATGAGATGGGGATGTGGTTTGCAGAGTCTGAATGGTTCAGGTTTGGGAGGTGTTCTGCGACATCACTTTGAAACTAAAATGGACTTGGGGAGGGGCAAGGAGTATGGCTGTGGCAAAGGCAGTTGGAAGTTCATGTTAGCTCTTTGAGGGCCACCAATGGATATGTAGTTTTGAAAATTTCTGACTTTCTTGTGTATCTGTGTGAATGCCAGTCTGCATATCTCTGAAATATTAAGGAGCAGGATAAGTAAGACCATGTTCCTGTTTCAGTGATATCTGTTTGCTGACAGAGTCAGAACCAGATGATGTATAGGAAACTTGAACACTTTTTATTCATAGTAGACTTGGAGAACGATCCACACAGGGAGCTTGTTAGTCCACTCACATTTATCAAGATGATGACTTGCCTGTGAAGTACAAACATTGCTGTCCTTTAGAAATATTCTTTTGCATCTCCCATCACCATGTAGCCTCAATACTTATAATCCAGGAGGAACTAAATGCATTATAAAACAAAGCTGAAGAAGGCTCATGACAATATAGTAAGGGCAAGTGTGACTTTGGAGGGGTCACACAACTAGAGGGAGAGACTTCTGGAGTATTAAATGCCTTCTGGGAATCAGTTATTTTGTTTCAGAAAAGGATGTCTTGAAAATGGGTAAGTCACAGGGCAAAGAATGATCAAAGAAAGCATGAAATATGTGCAAGATACAGGCTGAACAACTCAGCTTGAAAAAGAGAAAACATGACAAAGTATGAGATGTGTATAGTTGGGGAAAGCACAGAGGATGTCTGTGATTGATTAATTGCTGATTTGCTTAATTTAAAAACAAAGGGAACACTGGATGAAATTATCACATGGCATGGTTTGGCACCTCTTAAGCTGTAGATAATTCATGGAAGTTTGGAATATCAAAATTAAAATGGAGTCAGAAGTTTGTAATTCTGTGGGGGAGAAGTCCATGAAAAGCAGTAAATCAGCTAAGGGCAATACTCTTTAATGAATGCCCAGTTTCTTAGACACTTTTTGTAAGCACCTGCTAATGGTTACTTTCACCAAAGAAGGAGGGCCTTGGTGGACATCAGCAGTGACTCACCATGGCTTTTCTACTCATTTGCATTTAAAATGTTCCCGTGAGGAGAATGTTGGTGTTAACTGACGTTCTGAATAAATTTCCACTGTGAGTGTATCTGTTCTCAGTAAACTCATCTTTGAATGGCTGAAATGAGCAGTTGTTTCCCCAAGTGTCCTAAGCTGTTCTTGATAATGATCCTGATTCCATTCAAAAAGGTGAATTACTTTCCATGGTCAGTGTGGACAGGCTGAAGGGGAGAACGATTCAGAAGGTGCACTGTGATGTGATGGCTGCTTGGCTTACACAAGTGCAACTTTGACACATGAACTCTGAATGGATCTGGGCCAGATGCATATATTCAGTGATGGTTGTAAACCCCAATATTTGCCCAGAAGTGGGGATTTGTCCAATCTATGTGCTATGAATTGGTAGTCTTCTAAATTTAGAAGAGATTGCTGGTATTCTGTGACAGTGAAAGTGTCGATATAGTCTGTCAATTTAGATTCAGAGAAAATGATTTTTCTCAAATACAGCAACAGATCTAGTTTTAGGAGTGAGTTAGTTTAGTGTGGGGAGAGCATTTCTGCATTTATTTTAGTCTGTGTCAACTTTGTTTTGTATTCCAGGTGAGTCCAACGTGGTTTGGTATGACTTGAGAAAACCAGTGCATGCAGAGCTGCACTCTGACTACATGCAGCCCCTGGCTGAGGTAAAAGCTCGCAGCAAAAACCGCATCCAGGCCGTCCGACATCTCGTGCAGAACCTGCGGCTGATCAAATCCCCTGCAGAGATTGAGAGGATGAAGATAGCTGGCCGGGTGACAGCAGAGGTAATGGGGTCCTGTGCTCTCCTAATGAACCAGTGCATTCCTTTGATGAGGTGACACGAGTTGGAAGGAGAGCTTTGGTCTAATCTGTCACCAAACTGTTCGTCTCAACCACTGGCTGGGCTTGGCTTCCTCCACAGGACAAGGGGAAACTGGGAGACTGCTTGGACTACCAGATGTTCTCAATTAGCATAACTCTAGTGAAGAAAAGCCAGCAGCTGTTAGACTGTGTTTAAAAGCAAAGGCTAGCCTTTTCACTGTCTTCCCAACTTCCTCTCTGCTTTCCAAAATAATTTTCTTTCCCATCTATTATTTTTATTTTGAGGAAACAGGATTTTTGTGAAGACATTTCCTGTGTAAGTTTCTGCATTGCCCCTTCACCCTCAAATACCTTTTGAACTCATTGGCCACTTTTAAACAAATCTTACAGATAGCCAAGTAGAAAAGAGAGGCACAGGTTGTTCTCCTCTGAAGGAAAAGCTGCATAAGGCAATCCTATTATACCTGAGGGAATCCACAGGTGAGATAACTTTTAAAATGCCAAACCACAGGATCAGCCTCAATCATCTAATCCTTTATTTTTTTTCCAAAAACTAGAGTCAGTCATCCCCTAAATACAGTTTCATAGGGAATAAATCTTAACTGGTTCTAGTCTTGACAGCACTTTCACCAAAGTGGTGAAACCCTCTGGTTCTGGGCCAGCTGATTTTGGGTGTTCCTCGAGAAACAGCAGGTGAAAAAAAAAAAAAACAGTTCAGGCTCTTTTGCTAACTGAAAGTCCCTTCATTTTCATAGGCTTTCACAGAGACGATGTTTGCCAGTAAATCCCCTGTGGATGAAGCCTTTCTGTATGCAAAGGTGAGTACTCTGTAGCTGGAAGTGAGATAGAAGGGTTGAATGTTGGTTATCTTTCCAGGAAACCAGAAATGTCAGATCTCTTTATCACGTCTCCCACTGTAGCACATTTATTCACCCAACCCTTGTGGTTCCTCAGACATGCAGAAGAGTCAGTGTGAGGAATTCTTCAGCTGTACTTCTTGTAGCCTTATTTAAGGAGTGTAGCATTTGTCTAAGTTTCTCTCTGTTGATGTCTTTTTGTACTGTATTGAAATGCAAAACCTGCTAAACAATTGGAGGTAAAGTTTTCACCTTATTCTATAATACAGGTCTGTTGCACAAAATTTAAGTAGTTATAACACCTGTTTGTAAAGCCTGCTTCTCTTGCCTCTAGCCTCTTACTACATCAGATTACCACAGCCATCTTGAAGCAGTTTAGATGCCTCTCAGTTTCAAAATAAGGAATAACTGTCATGCACATTTGGTAAGGAACTTTGTAAGGAATTGCAGTGAGATGCCTGTTCGAGAAACATCAACAGGATTTGACCCTCTGTTACTACATGGATGGGCCTGTGCTGACATGGCACTGGCAGTACTGAGTTGAAAAAACGACTTTAATTACAGTGTATTTTACAGGTCAGTTTTCCAGTCCAGAGCAGGATCGTAAAACCTGTGCTCCATGTAGGCATCCTGGAGTGTTCTGTCCCCTGTGATTTTGGTAGACGTGCTATTAACATGTTGAGAGTCATTATAGATTCTTCATTTCCATGCTTTCATTAGCTTCATTGTTCAAGAAAGGTAAAGATCTTGAGGCTTATGGTGCTTTTTTCTTCTGTCCCCTCAGATATCAAGGTAGTGCATGCTTTTAAACCTTAGTTTAACAGTCATGAGAAATAGATAACTGCTGTAAATATGCTGGTACTTTGCAATTTTAAAAGACAGAAGCAAACCATGACTGTTGTCATGCTGACATAGAGGATCTTTCAAAATTCACAAAGTTGTATGGCAAATAACATAATTAATTTAAATAAGAACAAATCCTCACCTGGATATACGCCAATGCAGTGAATGTTGTTGTTGTAGTGACAGTATTGAACAACTTGTCCAGAAAGAGCTTCCTGGAGATCTGGTAAAGACTTGAAAAATTCTTGAAAAATTGGATGGTTCTGCATTTTTTTTTTCTCCAGAGTCCTTGAAAAATATTTAAGACTGCTTTCATTTAGTCAACTCACTTTCCAGTTTTACTTTGTATTGTACTAATTAAGAAGACAGTTGTAGGACAAGAATTATTATGGTTCTAGGGCAGTTAATCACCTGAATCAGCATTAATGGTTTCCTCTTCTCTGTATTGTTACTCTAGTTCGAATTTGAGTGCCGGGCTCGTGGTGCTGACATCTTGGCATACCCCCCTGTTGTTGCTGGTGGCAACAGATCAAATACTTTGCACTATGTGAAGAATAATCAGCTCATCAAGGTAACCCTTGTGCTGTGCAGTAACTTGAAATGCAGTGCTGTGATACAAATACACGTTCCCTAGCTGCTGCTTGTTTTGACTGAACAGATCAAAGCACTTAATTACATATTTTTTTAAGTGAGCAAGGGATATATGCCTTGGTTAATTTTACTGTCAATAGCATATTCAACTTGTCTTTCTTTCCTCTCAGTTCTTGCTGCAGTATTTTCTGAACAGTGCAAGGACTTGCAAACAAAGTTGCAGATAATTTAGTGAAAACGTCTGCTCTCACAGCAGCTTGCAGTGCTGGGGGCCTCACAAAATAGGGGAGCCACTGTCGCAGGCAGGGCAAAGGCCCCAGGGGGATCTTCTGCTGTCACTTGCATTCCTTGGCCTTGCTTTGCAATATAGGGGCAAAGTGCACTCCTGCTCTGCTGAAGCTGAAAAGCGTTTTGATTCCATGTAGCCCAGCAAAGCAGGGAAGGGGAACAAGTAGGGAACAGATCAGTGTTAGATGTCAAGAGGTGGTAGAGTAATGTGTTTTGTCTTAACTTGAAGATTCTCATTGAATTGAACCCTCTCCAGCTTTCCTGACCATAGGTGTTTAGATTCAGATAAGTATTTTCAGGGGCAGTATTCCCTCACTGCTCTCCTCACTATTTACTTTTCAGAGGAGCATATTTTTCCTCTGTCTTAATGCAGAATTAAACTTTCCCACTAGCATTGTCTTTTCTTGAAGCTGGGACACTAGCAGACCTTGAAATGATCTGCAGAGACAAATGTACAAATAATATGACAGGCTGCTTTTGGCAGGAAGAAGCTTCCTTTGTCGTTCTGTCATCCAAGGTCAGGCGTGCTGCTGCAACTCCAGTTGCTTCTGTTAAAGTTGTTCAGCTAAATGACTGCCACTTGTTTTTTTCCAAAACTATTAAGTAGAAGATTAAACCCATAAACTTGATTCTTCCTTTGTGTGCTGCTTCCTACAGATCTTGTTTCCAAATAGGCTAACAAAGTGTCTAATTTGGGAGGTATCTGAATGTTTAATTCAGTCTTTTCCTTAGAGGGCTCTGCTTTAAAGAAAGAGGACAGGCACAGCATAAGGCATTTACTGGACAAACAAACCACAGGCTGAATTCCCTTCGTCAGTAAATTGTTACTTAGTTTGTTTAATTGCTTGGAAGATGGCAGGTGCTGTAATTTCAGATTTGCCTTAAAGAATTCAACCAACTATTCTGAAAAAGTTTAAAAGTACAATATAAATGGATAGTTAATGGCCTGTCTATTCAGTGGGTTAGTGAGGTCTGCTCACTGCTGGTTTTTCTGCTGTGTGTCTGTTTGTGTCACTTAACTGTACAGAATGATAGCAGCTAGTACTGGAAGTAGCACTAGCAGTGAAATTTTGCTGCTTTAATCTTTCCCTTAGCATGCTGCAGTTATGCCTGGTCGTTCCATATCATGTCTGCTGGCACAGTCATGGATCTGTGGAATGAATCTCTACATGTAGTGTAAATCTGTAGAGAATTTACTCCAAACTTTTTTAACATCTTACTGCTCTATTTGTTGTTAGTCCCTTTAATGAGGGAAAGCAAGGCACTGGTTTTGTTCCTGGCCCTTTGTCTTTCTTCTGTGTGACTTTTTGGAGATGTGTAGTCATTGATATGGAACAGCTTTGCTGAAGTGAATTGGAGATTCACATCTCAAAAAAATTTTTCTTCATCACCAGATAGATCCAGAAAGATATGTTGAAATGGTCAAGAAAGTCCTAGAAGAGAAAGGGAAGGTTGTAGGAGCTATTCACCAGTGCATTTACAGCAGTGATACACTGCCAGATTTTGTGATACAAAGTGATTTTGCTGGGTCTTCATATCCTATGACAAGGGTAAATTTGTAATTGTTGGTGATTCTGTGCTTTTGTTGCAAGCCCCCTCTATCTCAGTCATTATAGCTGAGAACTTCTAGTGAAAGGAGTCATAGGCATAATTTGCTGGAATAAGCAATCCAGGTGTGAATAGGACTTGTCTCAGACAACAGAATAGTTCAAGGCAAATGCCTTTTCTTTACTCCAAAATCTTCATCTTAAAAGTTCAGACAGTGTATAAACATAACAGTCAGAGACTACCTTACAGAGCAACAGTCCAACTGGAATAGCTTATTTATAAACTGTGGTACCTGGGGTATTACTCTGCAAAAGGAATTCACTTTTCTGCAGCTGCATTGTGAAAACAGAAGCATAATCTCCTTTCCTGCTGTCAGACAGAAAAATCAGTTAATAGCTGGACTGACCCACAGAGCATTCTTTCCTGTTATTCTCCAGGATGGTGAACTGGTCTTGCTGGATGGTGGATGTGAATTTTCCTGCTATGTGAGTGACATCACACGTACCTGGCCTGTCAATGGAAGGTATGCTGCAGTAAGTTTGCTTGAAGAATTTTGATAAGTTCTTAAATAATTGATGGATTGAGTGTGTGTTTAATCATAGTCTTACCATGTCCCATTCTGTGCTGCTTCAGAGTAATCAAATTACATGAAGTAACCGTTCAGCTGTATTCCCCACTGCCTCATTAATTACTGCATGAATATATGTGATTATTGCTATTTTCAGCTATTACAGCATTCTTAATGTGCAGAGAGGGCTTTTGTATATTCAGCTGTGGCTGACTCCAGTTGTGTGTAAGAAAACAGGAGTTTCAGTTGATGTGTACATAGCTCTGCCAGTTGGGAATTTGCTGGTGTGGCCTTTCATACAAGGAGACAGTTGCTTTGCTTTCTGCTTTTCCCCTGCTCCATCCTTGAACTGAATCTGTACCCAGAATAGGTTCTGGGGACAGAACCTCTTTCTCTTGGAAACAGAGATTTAGTTGTGTAATATTCCTTTACTCAATGGCCTTCAGGTTCACCAAACCCCAAGCAGAACTGTATCAAGCTGTCCTGGATATCCAGAAGTCCTGCTTGAGCCTCTGCTCCCCTGGCATGAGTCTGGAAAATATCTACAGCCTCATGCTGAGCCTTATTGGACAGAAACTGAAAGACTTGGGTGTCCTGGAGAGCAGCATCACTGACAGCCATTTCTTCAAGGTACTTCAATTTTTTTTACTCTCGTTTACCCCTGTTTACTCTAGTTTACTCCTATTAATCCTGACTGTTTCATCCTTGGGTAGTTTTAGGGCTTTAATTTGGGTCAGGAATGTGGTTTCAGGATGTCTCTGCTGCTTACAGGATGCTTTAATTCATGTTGTGGGCTGGTCTCAGCACAGGAATTAATTTCTCTGAGATAGGGCTAAACTTGCAGATGTGATTCAACCATTTGGTGCACAATTTGGTTTGAAGTAATCCCCAGTCTTATATGCACATACTGTGAATATTTGTTCCTTGGCTCTTGCTGCTTCACTCTGCAGATCCATTCCTGTTGCTCTGCACTTGCCAGCACAGAAACAGCTTTAGAGCACAGTCTGAAGGGAACTATGGGCACTAACGCAAGATTCTGGGTCCAGGCTTGACTGCAGGCAGTTATTTGTACTTTTGTGGTCTGTTTAACATCACATAAATCTGCAGTGCCACCAAAAGGTGCAGCCTATTCTCAGTCATTCCACCTGCTGCCCCTTCTGGCCCATTTTGTGTCAGTACTGGGACTCACAGAGCTACCTAGTGAGCAAGACTGGGAAACTGGTCTGCCTTAGAGCTAAAATTGCAGATAAATAGGCTTGGGTTGCAGTGAGAGGCGTTTATCCAGTCACTCTCACTGCAGAGCTGCACGATTGCTGATGCCAATACCGCAAAGATGGCGGAACCAGGTGACGGCAGGACGGCTTTTGGCAGGCGGACAGGTTCCTGCCGGATTTAGTTGTGCCGGTGCCATGGCAGCCCCGGCTGCCGCCGGCGGACGGAGCGTGTGGTGCCGGATCCTTCCGGCAGGTGGAAGCACAGCCAGACGGGAGCGGCGCCTGCAGCTCCGTCCCCTGGGAAGGAGGAGCGTGGAGCAGGGAGGAGTTCTCGCTGATTCCCGCTTTAGAGGGAGGGAGATGAGGATGGCGGTGTCCGAGCCTTGTAGAGGTGGATTAAAATCATGCTGTATGTACCGAATAAAATCGGCACAGCGTTCGCTCTGGTGTGCACAGCAGACCGCTTTCAGAGCCCAGAGCAGCTGTGCTCGCTGCTGTCCGTTGTGAAGCTCTGCTGATGGGAGTCGTGCAGGGCTTGGGTGTTTAAGGGATGGGAAGGGTTGGGCAGCAAAGCTCAGTGATTGAAAATTGACACCATGCTAAGATGGTGATGGGATTGGGCTGTTCTTTTCAGCGCAGGGGAAAGTCAGTCTGCAATGTGCTCATAAGAGGCACCTGGTACTGGTGGGTTTTAAGGACCATCCTGGTGGCCTAGACGTGGCAGTAAAACTGCTAGTTAAGTACATAACTATTCTGTCTCTTTTCCCTATCTTTTGTATTGGAGCAAGTTGGGCTGTGTTTAACTGCCTCTGTGACACTTGTTCTGTGTTCTCTTAGGCTGTTCGAAAATACTGCCCTCATCACGTGGGCCATTACTTGGGCATGGATGTTCATGATACCCCAGATATATCCCGATCGCTCCCGTTCCAGCCAGGCATGGTGATAACCATTGAACCAGGTAAAAGCAGTCAGTGGTGGACAAAAACATGCAACGCTGAGGGCAACAGTATTGCCTTTCAATAATTAGCTGGTCCTGCAGACCAAAGCGTTCAGATCCTTTCTGGTGAAGCTGGAAACTGTAGCAGTACTGGAAAGCCTTAAGTATTCCTCTCCCAAAGTCATTACAGTATTAGAAAACCCTATTTCCTTCCCAAACATAGCCAAAGTAACACGTAGTGGGAGGCAGAGTAGTGTAGAGCTCAGGCTGTGCAGCATAGGTGAGCTGCAGTGCAGAAATCAGGGTCGATTCACTTGTTCTGTGTTCCTGCCACTGAACTTTTACCAGTCACTGGTAGTGTCTCAAGCATTACAGTCTGCAATTGCAGGGATTCACAACTTAGCTTTGCAAATTAGGCATACTGTGAGGAATCTTTCTTTCTCCTTGTCACTAGATTTGGAGCTGTCAGCTGGAAACTTATATTTAATGCTTGTCTCTTCTCTCTCTCTATTCAGAACATTTTTAAAGTCATCATTGTGAATGTGACACTGAGAGCAAGAAGTGAATGTGACACTGAGAGCAAGAAGTGAATGTGACACTGAGAGCAAGAAGTGTGAAAAGGCCAGGTGTAGCTATGGAAGTTTTTATTAGTGTGCTGATATCTGTAGGCACAGAGGGACACTTTCCTTTCTTTGCCCACCAACAGCCATGAGTAAGAGGAAAGAGAGTAACTTGCCATATTTAAAATTCTCAGGATCACACACGTTATGTTGCTGAAAGTCCAACCCCGCTCTCCTGGTGGTGCCGTAAGGGAAAGGTGGTGTTCTGGAGAGCGTTGTGTGTTTTAATTCCCTTTCTTCTTTCAGGCATTTATATCCCTGAGGATGATGCGAGTGCTCCGGAGAGGTTTCGTGGCATTGGTGTGCGCATTGAGGATGATGTTGTGATAACAGAGGATGCACCTCTTGTCTTGTCTGCTGACTGTCCCAAGGACATCTACCACATTGAGCAGATATGTGGTCGCAGCTCATGATGCCCCTTCCCTGCCTGTTTCATCCTCCTTGGGAGACACAGCCCCGCAGGGATGCAGATCCCTTAGCTGGCTGCAGTTGTCAAGTGATGGAAGGCATGGACAGTTGATGGCTGTTTCCAAGACTGGGACTGGGCAGTGAAATGTAAAAGGCTTGAGTACTGAGGGATGAAAAAACCAAGTAACCTTTTCTGTGTGCAGTTTTCTTCTGATTTGTGCTGATGTGGAATTGTTGTATGATGTGGGAGTGGATTCATCCCTCTGCTGTGTGGATCCATGTGTTCTGGGGCCCTTGGGGAGGCTGAATTTTGTCAGTGCCACCAGATGCATAGGTGCAACAGCTGAGACCAAGGCCCCCGTTTTTCTCCCTTAGCAGCAGTTTCACAACAGTCAGATTTTTATAATGATGCTTTTATAAATACTGGTTTTGGATGAGAAGGTGTCAGCTTGAATTTTATAGAACCATGTAAAGAGAGAGTCTGGTAATTAGGGAAGTGGGTTTGGTGGAGACGTGGTTGTATCTGAAGCCAGTGGAGAATTCTTTTAGTATTTTAAAGATAAGGATGTGTTTAGGCCTTGTTCAGGCATATGCAAAATAGGCCTGCAGCAGGGAAAAACACCTTGTCTTTCAGTTTATTGGAGTGCTTGGTAATTTCAAAAAGTACAAATAGGGCTCAAAAGGTTAGACATTCTTGCTGTCTTCCACATTCCCTTCCTATTGTCCCAAAGGTCCATTCCTTTTTCCTGCTCTGAATCCCTCTCTACCCTAAGAAGCAGAGCCATGTTGATTATGCTGGACTCCACTGGTGAGCTGTTGGTTGTCACTCAGATGTGAGGTGTCCAGTTCTGGGACAGTCACAGCACCTTTCTAGCTTCTGCTTGCTGTGTGCTGTAAGTGCCAGCAACTTCAGCAGTGCACTTTTGAAGAGTCTGCCCTATGGTGAGTGTCAAGTCTTTACATGGCTTTTATATGGAATTAATTGGAATTAAAAGTAATTCTTCTTTTCTGAACTCTGAGGGCATGATAAGAGCTGACTTTTGGGTTTTTCCCAAAGTGCTCTGATAGTATTTTTGAAGCAGCTGCAAATGTTACTGGGGCTGGATGACAAGTAAAGAGAAGAGCTTTCTACCTTGAACATCAGCCTACCATCCAGGCCATTGTATGCCATAGTAAATACACCTACTAGAGGCAAGCACAGCATCTGTGTATTTACTGAAAGTACTTAGACAATCAGCTATTTAACATGTGTGAAAAATGCCTCTCATCAGAGCATCTCCTGTTATTTACACTTGCTGTTGCACCACCTTACTTCTTTTCTTATGGTAGCTTTCAGTGCTCTTCATCTATTACTCTAAATTTTCTTTCTCCTCTCTTCCTGGATTGTCTGTTTCCACTATGTCACTGCTTCCTAATCCATTTTACTTTCTTATCAACATCACTGCCTCATCCCCAGTTTGGCCTAATTCCCCAGCATGAATGTAGCCTGAAGCGTGTGATGGAGGTGGTCAGGGTTCTGGAGTTTGACTTCTGCCTCTGTTGCTGTGTAATCTCTAGCAAAATCTGCATTTTTATCCCTTTTTCCCCCCCTTTTTTTTGGTTTTTTGTTTTCTGTGTTTCACTTAGTGAAGGCCAAGTGGGCAGGGTCTTGCATCTCTCATTGCATTCAATGTGAGCTGGGTGCATGCACTGGGGTTTGAATTTCGGCACCTGAAAGGCAGCCAAGGCATGCCATAATTTTATTTTCTAAACATGACCAAAAAATGCTTTTGCAGGGTTTAGTGTATCAAGTTTCACATATTTAAGGGAATCTGCTAATCTCTGATGGCAGTGCTTGTTAAATACTCCTGTGTTGCAGTGATAGCTACATTCTAAAATATTTGAAGGGAGATTTCCTAAGTATGAACACAGACCTGATGAGTACTTTTGACATTGTTGTGATCTCTAATACATTTCTTCCAATTACACCTGTTAGAGCCATATCAAATGGGCCAAATCTTGGAGATTTTGGAACTATGTAAGCAGCTTAAAATAACATTAATCAAAGAGATACATATGTGAGCTGAACTGCACATCCACCCACACATCTAACAGAGTTAATAATGGTACTTAATGTAAATAAGCCTTTAAAATGCATATACAAATTATTTTTAAAATAAATCAATTAGTAGTAAGTTATTTCTCAGGCCATCAAGTTGTATGCTGTTGAATAAATACACACACCTCCAAAAACAGCATTATTTTTCAGGAAGATTCATTAATTGTGTGTGACCTGTCTTGGACTTGAAATAACATTGTCAAATGTAGGCACATGCTAATTTCTACTTCTGTCAGGAAAATCCTGCAACTTGTAAACACCAGTAGATCTTAGGAATGCTGTGGATGAATGTTTCTGTTAGGAAAGAAGTGTTTGTGACTGCTGACTGGAAAATAATGGATCTGCTATGGCTGCTGACTGTGTCTGATTTAGGCCATGTATATTCTGTAATTCTTCCACTGTGTTCAGCCATTTTTTCAACATAAACTGCTGCTGGTTTGAATCTCTTGTTCCATGTAAAGGGTGCATTTCGCAGAAGGTATTAAATCTGCATCCTATGAACCTCAATTTTTGAAGGCTTTTTCTCACTTGTTGCAGAGATAAATAATCTGTGACCTACACACATGCTGCAGTATCCCTTGCAAACAACCAAATCCCTGAACATTTTATACAAGCCTCATCAAGAAACCCTAAAGAGCTTGGTTCTCTGGCTGCCGGCACGGCACATACCTGTGGTGCACCTCCCCTGGCGCTGATCCCATCCTGCCAGACTGTCTGCTTCTGCCACAGAAGAGATTCCTCACTGCAGCCACTTGGGTGCAGGAGCAGCTCTCAGTGGTGGCACAAGTCGACAGCTGCTTGATGAGGGCGTTAGTGGGATCTTGGGAAGTGAAAGAGAAATTGAGTTATACACCAGTTCGTGTGGGGAGAGATTTGATTTCATGTGGTACAGGTCTTAAGGACATCAGAGTATGAGAAAAAACGAGAGCCAGCCATCCCCATGGAGAAGCTGCTTTGCTTCCAGAGGAACCCTGGGAGGCTTTTGGCTTTCCCACTTCACCTTCTACCAGGGGACTGCTTTGCTTTGCAGAGAACTAGCGAAGTCCTGTTGTTAAATACAGTCTGAGCAGAAGTACCAATTTGCAGATTTGCTTCTGTCACTGAAGTGGAACGAAATTTGACATTTAACACAATTTGGCATTCTACCTCTGTGTGGAAAAATACAGTATGTCTTTCCTAAAATGGCATTCATTATTTTGCGAAGGAGCATGGTGTAGGAAGTAGCAAACTGAGGTAGCCCAGTAAAGAGAATGGAGATGGAGAGTTTTGGGACTGTACAATGCAATAAGAGAGGAATCAGGAGAAGGTTGTGATTTAGAGCTGCAGGGATGGGTGCCAGGGGGATGGGAGAGCAAGGAGAGAACAACGGGGCATAAACTGGCTATTCAGTATGTTGTCAGAATGGTGCAATAGCTCCAGAAAACTGGTTATGCTGTTTCATAACCCTGATTGATTTGTCCTACTCAGTAGGGAGGAACAAAAGAGTCAGATTGTATTGATGAACTTGGTCTTAACAGTTAGTTTAATTATTTCTTTTAAAAATCAATAGAATTATCATATGAGAAAGTTTTATGCAGTTTCAAGTTATTGATTATGTGTCATATCTCAAATAATGGGAAGGGAAAAAAGTATGTTTCTAGGCAAAATCTTCCATAATGATGGAGGGAGCAAGGCTAAGGTTACATGCTCTTGTGCTATCCAAATTATTGCTGTGGAAATTGAGTAATTACTCCGAGGAGAATTACCATAAGGTGAAAAGAGTTAGAGTTAAACTTCAAAAAAAAAATCTGTATGAGATAAATGACAAAAATGTTTTAATTGTGATATTTAATACTTTATGTAATTGGATAGCAAAACTCTGCGCTGACATAATAATCCTTTGGACACTGTCACAGTGCTGGCTCTAGGACTGGGTCTATAAAATTCACTGTATTTAAGAGATATAACAATAAATTACATTTTAAAGCAGTATTTATAATTGAAACAGACAGTGAGGTACCATGGGCTCAATGACACTCAATTTCAGCTCCTTTCTCCTTCTCAGTTGTCTTGCTGCCCTAACTGCCTGGCAGCTTTGAGCCTTCTTCCCTAGCAGCAAGTGGAGCAATGAGCCCCTGTCTTCCTGGGACAGCTTATTGCCTCAGCCTACCTGGTTGTTTCTCTGAAGCACCACCCAATATTTGGCTAACCAAAACCAGGCTGTTCAGAAGATGGCCAGAAAGGAACAAGGAAGAATTTCCAGCTCCTCCATGTGTGTGTTACCTTCACTTGCTGACTCATATCACGTATGCCATTTTAACAGCCATGACAGAGTTATCCATTAACAATGGCAAAGGGGGGAAAAAAATCCTGTCTGGGTAAGTCTGACAATGAGATTTTTGAACAAAGAAAAAGTTAATAAGCAAGCTGCTTCTAGACCCAGAAGTGAGGACGTCTACTACAGGCTTCAATATATTCCTTCCACAGGATGCTGGGGAAACAAGTAGCACGGCAGGAGCAATGTGCAGTCTTTGTTTGGGAACTTTTTGCAGATGCTGGTCTCAGACATGCTGGGGGGGCCAGAACTGCCAGTGGTTAAAGCTCTGTATTGGGTTTTTTCCTCCCAAGACCATAAAGAGCCTGTGGCTTTTTAAAGGAATCTCAGTTTTTCATAATTTAGGCAGAAATATCATGGCAGCACAGGCTGAGAACTCTCAGCCTGTGGTTCAACTAGGAGTTGTTGGCATTCCAGTGAAAATTTTTATAAATGCAGTTCTTTCCAGGGAAATAGTTCACCGCAGTCTTTTTTTTTGTGAGTAAACAAGGCCAATATGAACAATATTTTGTGAGAGGGAAAGAGGCTCAGCTTCTTTTTCTTCCCAGCTTCTGTCTCTATGTGCCTTTAGGATATTAATGCAAAATAGGATTGGCCACTGATCCAAGTTCAGATTATATGATCTGACTCTTGTACCAGGAAATAGTCAGCAGAAGTCAGGTAAACTCTTGTCATGTGAATATTTTACTCAGGTAGTGCTTTAAGTTTGAGGATAATGTGCTTTGCTCTTTCAGTCTAATGTGCACATAGAGTGTAACATACAACATCTGTTTTGCCTAGGGGAGCTACAACCAGGGCCTCTGTAATTAATAGTATTACATCTCCACCATGAGCGCCCAGCAAATTGTTCGAGTCATTCAGAGAAAGCACGGCTGCTAATGGCACAGCAGGGGGTTGGGTTTGAGCTTTCTCTACAAGTCTTGTTCCAGTCCACAAGATCTGATGTTCCTGGTATTACCTATGAACACCCTTCCCTACTACCTCTTGGCAGAATGACCATTTCTATAGGGTGGCCTCTGTGAAGTTTGTGGTGGCATTTCTGTGCTTTTGTCCTAACACGTCATCAGGATCTGCTTAACAATTTTAACATTGTTTCTTGGATAGACAAGGTTTCATACGGAATCCACAGTTCTGCCGTGGCGCCGGGGCTGGCTGGCTCCTCACAAGCTGTGCCCTTGGTCCATCAGCCCAGTTGCTCGTGTCTCCCTGTCCTCAGCAGGACAGAGAGGCATGGCCCTACTGACAGCTCAGGAATGTCCTCACATCCCCATGCACCTGCTCCTGTCACAGAGGCTTTAATCTCCAAATGTCCTTCTAACTCTTCCCCCTCTGGATTTGCAGAGGTACCAGCCTGGAGCCAGAAGCTGTAGCCTCTGGTGTGCTTGTAGCACTGACCAATTGTCAGACTCCATATGGTGCCACTGACGCTCCTGTGATGCATTGCAGTGTCTGGTATGTATATTGCTTCCTAATTTATGCTTTATCCTCTTCTTTTTTCCAGAAGATGAGCCATTTAACAGCTACATGGGTGTTACTGTGGTGACTGTAACCAAGCAAAACCATGCAGTTTGTACTGAGATAGTTCTACATTTGTGGACTTGGAGATGATTAAGAAATTTTTTAAGGGCTTGTTGTGTTTTTTTTGGTCTTCCCTGCAGAACAGAGAGAGGTTTCTCATGAACTTTCAGTTGCACACCATGAAGTAGAAAGGTATCATTCATCTTCAAATGTGCAAGTGTACTATTATCTATACACAAACATCACATATTAAGCAAAAAAATGTTGTGACTTCTAGCTAGTTACAGATTTAAAAGATGTTTTCTCAAACTGTAATTAAGATTGCTTAGATATTTGACTCTTCATTTTTTTGTGCTTTGTTTGGATTTCTTGTTACATTTAATTTTACCCTAGAAGTTCCAAGGTTTATAATTCTCCATGTTTGAATAAATGCATTATCTCTAATGTATTTTACTGTAAGTTACTGCTGTAACTGAAGCCTTACCTTTGCTTCCATCTTCAGGGATTTTTTTTTCACTTTTATAATATAATTTCCCTGCAGTATGAGGCTTTCTTGGGAGACAGCATTCTGTGATTCTCACCTGAGGAGTGCCTTTTCAAAAAAAGGTGAGAATGTGCAATCTGAAAGATGTGATTATTACTCTTGCAGCTTAAAACTGTGTGAGTTTTGAACTCAAATGTACCATTCTAACTTAGGTTTTTAGGGATATCAAATTGAACAAGTATAGCAATTAATGGAAATTAGGATTGTAGTACAAACTTAAATTCCTAATAACTGATAACTGTAAATTAATCTCAGCAATTAGACATAAAAGCTATTTTCCTCTAGTGTGCAACTCTTTGAAGTTTTATTAAATTTTACTCATAAACTGGGAGACTGATAAACTGTTTCTCTAAGCTCATTTGAGACAAGAATTGCACCAAATGCCACATTTCTGAAGGACTCGATTTTTTAATGATTCATAAGCTAATAGAAGACCGAGTTGAAATCCTCTAGAATATTGCCTACATTCTGTTAATACCCTGAATGAAAGGGTAGGAGGGAGATCTTTCATCAAGTATTTTGAGCACCTTTCTGTTGCAGCCATTGCATTTCACCTCCCCAGTTTAGTGCTGAGCCTGGTAGTTTGTGTGTGACAGCAACAGATCCCTCAGTAAGGCATCAAGCCTTGGTCAGAAGGCTTGTGGAGGGAGAAGGATAAGGTGGAGAATGGCTTCTTTCAGTCATCTGCTCCTCTGTTAACCACCCCATCATCAAAAATTTATGCACTTTTTTCCTGAACAGGCATTATAGGGAGGATGAGGAGCAGCTTTATGTGTTTAATGAACCTGCTCTGGGTTCAGTGCAGCCTTGAAAGTGGAACTGTGGCTGTACTTATGTGAAAAAGTATACAACTGTGAAATTCATTCACATTTCTGAGTCCACAGAGTTGCACAACAGGGCTATTCACAGTTTAGCAAGAAGAAGAGAGAACCAGAGAGGAAAGAAAGAAAATGAGCAGTGAAGAGACATATGTGTTGCATGATTCTCTCCTCTGGTAGAAAAGATATTGGATGTGTACAAACACAAAAAAGAAAATCAAGTCTTGTGTAAATAGTGCCATCTCCATTTTATTTTTTTCCCTTACAACATAATCTTGGTATGTTTAAAAAATTAAGTGTAATGATACAAAAG